AGTAGAGGGGGTGGGGGGGTGGGGGTGCTGTGGTTCTGCAAATAACACAGCGCTTATAATCCCATGGACGAGTGCCAGAATGTTTTATGCTTGCTTTAACGCAGATTATATTACACTCTAATTAAACATTCTATTCAGCGCGGGGGGAACCCTGCCGACACGATTCTTCTGCAGAAAGCCCTGTTTGAGTTTTGAACTCGGGGCGGCCCTGAGATGAACGGCCCAGACAGTCTCCAGCCGTCTCAAAGAGTAGCTCCCACTTGCTTCCCTTTATTTCTCACACACACACACAGACACACACACACACACACATATATATATATCGTCTCTATAGCGGCGCATTCACACCATTGTAAAAGGTCACTCCACGGCTCTCCCTGGCTTTTCACGCCCGCGTCCTCCTAAACTCCATTTATGAGCACCATTAAAATCATTGTGTGGAATCATGTAGGAAATCCATTGTCGGCGACTGAGGGTCCATTGTTGCTCACGGGGGCCGCCCCCCTGAGAATTAGTAATAACTGTGACAAGACAGCGGCTGAAAGTGCTCAAACCTTCCGACGGCGAGGGGCTTCAGCTGCCTTTTGTTTGTTCGCTTTCATATCGTCAGAGCAGTTAGTTTAAAAAAAAAAAAAAGGAACGACATCGTGTTTAGATCCAACTTGTGAACGTGTGTCGCTCTCGCCTTCGGTTTGTTGAAATCTGGCCAAGAAGCTTGTAAACACAAAGTGAGCGAACAGAGCCGGTCCTCTTGTGAGGCGACGGGTTCTGGTCCAACGAAATGACTCTGGATCAACTAAACGAAGAGGGAACGTTTTAACGTCTTGTTCTGTAAAAGGAAAAAATTTGTTAAGGGTACAACTCGTTTGTCTTTTCAGTTTTTATTTGTTAAAACCTGTAAAACATACCTTTTAACTTTAGCAAATAGGAAATAAAATCCAGCTCTGTAGCTCGAGCAAACATTGAGGTCATGGACAGTTCGACATCAAGTGGCTGAAGTGTCATTTTGATATCTTTAATGGATTCCTGTTAAAGTTTTATGATTTTTTAAATATTTTGCTACAGATTGCTCAACTTTGAGAGTGATGAAWCTCATGTTTTAGCTTTCAAGTAGTCTGAACTTGCTGACATTTGTGACACCATCATATCAAAATGAGGATTAAGTCAAATTTGGTCAAAATGACCTAATTACATTTTCATATTCCTGGCTTTAAATGCTTTTGATACCTGGATCATCCTGATATCATCAGCTTATCCTGAGATATGACTTAATTTGTCTTGATGGTTACGATAATGTATTATTATTTGGTCTGAATCCTAATTTTATGTAAATTTATTGAGTAACTTCTCGTGTTAATATAAAGAGGAAACCTCAAATAGTATTTGTATATTAAGATTTCCCAGTTGGAAAGAAACAAAAACATTGCTAGCTCACAGAAAAATTCAAAAATTTAATGCGTTTTTCCTTAAAATCAGGTTTTTTGTTGTTACTGCTCAAAAAAATGCCTCGAAAAAAAAATTTTTAGGATTATATTTCAGAGAGTTTATTCAAATGATACATTGATAAGGCATTAATTCATTTTATTTAGACAAAATGCAATTTTTGCAAACATTTAAATCTAAACACTATATCTTCACATTCCACTTTTGGAGTTAATCCTCATTTCGATGTGTTGGGTCACATTTTTGCGAATTTTAATAGGTTTTTTATAGTTTATACATCCAAACAGCCTTTTTTTTCTTTTAATTTTTGTCTCTCAAATTCTTTAAAGTTCACACCTGCACCTCCATTGACTCCCATTGTATCTGAGCTCAGAAATTTCTCTTAAACTCATCAAATCTCACATAAAACCCTTCCAGTCGACTTGTAGTTTTCACACAGTTAATGATTTTAAGGCTTAATTTGTAGACAGCAGTTCTGTCCTGTCAGGGAGTGACAGACACAATTGTGCAGTTACCACAGTGACCAAAACGAAGCACCGACCGCAGCTTTAACTCTTTTTTTTTCTACCTGGTTTCTGCAGCCCAACAGCAGTGGTCAAGGGGTTGGAAAGGTCCCAGGCCACTTCACCCCAGTTCTGGCTCCATCCCCRCACCATGGCGCCGTGCGACCCGTCACGCTCTCCATGCCCGACACCAAGCCCATCACCACATCTGAAGGTGAGCCATCCACTGCACACACCACTTCCTGTCGCAGCTCTGCAGCAGCAAACACATACATGTCCTGTGTTTTGTTTTTATTTTGTGTAGCGTGTAAATGTGACATATAAAGGACTTTGTGTGTTTTATCCATCAGCTGGCTGCAATACGAGGCAAAATTAAGCCTTCGTACTGATGAGGGTCACCTTATTGTTTATTCCTTTAAAAAAACAAAAAAAAATGAATGCCTATGTCTGCTGTAGCTCAAGCACAAGATGTGTTTTAACAGCTGCACAAAGAGCTACAAAATTGTTTCCAGGTGAATTTCAAGATGGGGAAAACTTTACTGGTGATGTTGGAACCAGAAAAATAAACAAACATAAAGCAAAAGACCACAAACGTACAAYAATCCAACTTTCTCTGTTTGACTTTTCTGTTTATTTGTTCAGAGAAACAATGTAAATCATATAACTGAGGATATGAGCAGTCAAAAAATAATTAAAGTAGAAAAACAGGAAATCAAACTCCTAATGATAGCAGAAAACAGTAAAGTGCGTGTAAATGTGGCATTATTTGACATCATATTCATTTTAAGCATGATTTTATTTTTTTAAAAAGGTCCCTAACACAAATAAAAATATGTTTTTGGTGCCAAAAGTTTCACTCAGTCTGTAAAATACAGAATTATCACCATTTTTGTTTACTTTGATTGATTAGCTGTGGCTACTATCATCAGTTGTAGATGCATGTTGAAGTTCATTCAGTGATTTATAAGATATTTTGCTAACAGAAAGTTAATTCCAAAGTTTAATCTATGTGATCAGATGATGTATTGGTTGTGACGTTTTGCYACTACCACATCAAATTTTAGCTCAGTATTGGTAAAAATGGGTAAACTTTAGGTGTTTTGTATTTGCTAAAGCTGTGGCAACCATCTTGGATGATGTAATCTGTTATAGATGGGCATTTAATTAATTAGTTAAAAAAATAAGTGATTAAAATTTATTGAAAATATGAAGAATTACAGTGGGCCTAAAATGAAGCCTTGTGGGACTCCACATGTACGTTTTATATACCTGTTCATGGAGTTGGTTAATGATTTTAAATTCATCATTCAGACTGATTATTTCTGTGCTTTTGGAGCTGATTGTAATGAAATCATGTTTTTTTGTTTGTTTGTTTTTTAATGACTCGTTTACCCAGCCTACTCAAGTCCTGGCACCCCGACAGCCAATCGTTTCGTAGGCCTGAGCACCAGAGATCCCGCCTTTCTCCACCAGCAACAGGTGAGGTTTCTTTCCTCCTCATTTCAACATTYGAGTCACCTGCTCATATTATTCTTATCATTTTCTGTCCCACACTTCTTCTTTTGACTGAGACGTGTAAAATACCCCCCACCCCCTCTGAAACACTTTATTTTATCGATTTAATTTGGTTTTGAACGCCTTAGAAGATAAGGAAAGCTTAACGAACTGAGTCCTGCTGATCTTATTGTCGTTTGTAGAAACTTGTGAACTTGTTTGTGAGTGAGTGTAGTTGAGTTTAGATGGAAAAAAAAAAAAAGCTTCGTTTTTTTGTCCTCGTTTTAAAGACGCGTAAAGGTGAAGGGTTACTGTCCCTGTTGCCACAGCTCAAAGATGGGTGTGGTTTTATTTAGAGCTCCTTTGTTTCCTTCAAAAACTAAACTTATCACATAAACTCGTCGTCAGAACACTCCTTTATTTAACGAGAAAAGGCGGCGTCCTGCTATAGGACGTCCTCAGAGGTGGTGTGTGTGTGCGTGCGTGCGTGTGTGTGTGTGTGTGTGTCCTCTTCCACATCTTACTGAAAGCGCTGGTCTGAGGCCAAGGCTTTTCCAACCACAACTAATTGAATGCATCTGCACGCACCTCCATAATGATCGCCGGCTTTTCTCCTCAGCTTTAATGTTTAGTTAGAATCACGGAACTCCTTTCTCACTCTCTGTGTTTCCCCCCTTCTTCTTCCTGTCTTTYTCACAAATTTAGTTTTTGTTTTGATAATAAGTAGTAAACGAAAAAGGAAAGATGAGGGAGGTTGTTTAGTTTGTCAGTTTTGGGATGCTGTGATTCCACAGGGAGGAGGAGGAGGATTCACTTGGCTGAAGTCGCACAGTTTGTCTTTCACTTCTTTTTTTTTTTTTTTCTTTCCTAGCAGCCGTGCTAGCGTCTTTTAGCGGAGCACAAAGCAGCAGCCTGAAAGTTGCCGCTGAGTTTGGTCCAGCAGTCGGTTTCTCAGCGGCAATAAAGCCRCTCGGCTCCAGATTTTTCGTCCGGATGTATAAATATTCTCTGAAGAAATACAGCAGCGATGACTTTAGGTCCTGAATAAACGATCACATAAACGGAGGTCGTCTTAGACACAGTTTGGAGATGCTTTACAATCAGATTTTACTTATAAAGAATTAATAAACACTTAATAATTTGTAGTAAATAAGCTTAATGAAGCMACACTGATTCATTAATTGACAACTTATAAAGATTACATCAGAGGTCACCAACAAGTTTCTCACTTTACAGGGTCACTGTTAGGTTTAGTAGGAATAATATTTATTATTTTTATCATTATTATAACAAATTATTTAATGAAAGATTTAACCTACTCAATCTGCTATTATGTAATGATTTAATTTAATAGATTATGTTTTATTTAGTTGGTATCACTTCACAGTAGGCGTTCTGGAATAAAGGTTTTATTGAAGCCTTATAATCTGGTTATATATGAGATTGTAAACAACTTATAAAGCATAACATACATTACAAAACTTTTAAGGCTCACTATTTGGTAAGACTAAGTGTTATTTTATTCAATTCAAAAATACTTTATTGATCTCAGAGGGAAATAAGATCATTACTTAATTATTATCATTCACTTAGATGCACATATTCATATAATTTATCGTTGTTAATCTCTACAAATATTCATTGTGTTCACTTGCAGGTAACTTTCTGAAATTGTTTTAGTTAAAATCCTATATATGAAGAAATGAATAAAACTTTAGCACTTGATTCTGCCAAGTATAAAACCTGCTAAATATGTAGAAACGGTGTTTATTAATTATTTTATTGACGCTTCATAAGGGGTTTACAAATTCATGAATTACTTTTTTTATATTGTTACTATAAGCATTAAATAAACTTATATAAATAATTAATAAATCCTTAATGAAGGGTCTCATATTGGGAAGTTGTACCATTTATTTTAATTATATTTAATATTAACTTTATCACAAAATCAATGGGCAGTTCACTGAGAAATGACACATTTCTGCATATTTTGTATGTGTGTGTCCAGGTGTGAAATTAGTCTGTATATTATWGATTTTGATTTATTGATTCAACAGGAAAAGATTACTAAAAATCAAGCCTGACTCAGCATAATTACTGTTGGAAAGTGTTTGACAGGAACAGGAAGTTATCAACCTTTTATTTTTTTAGTTATGGAAGGAAAAAAAATGTCCAGGAAATGCAAAATTACTGTAATTTTCAAAGTTGGAAACTTTCTGTTAGAAATTATTTGGAACTAATAAGGAAATATTTGGGGGTAATAATACTGGCCTTTATCAGGAATTTTCAAATATAACAGGTTAAAATATAAACTTTCATGGTCTTAACTAAAAATTTAATTAAAAATTGTTTTTGTTTATAAATTTTGGGTCAAACTTACAATACAGTTTGTTTAAATTATTCCCAGTTTCCATTTAATTCATATGAATTCCCCCAAATTTCCCCAAAGTTTCTGGACGGTCTTGTGAAATCACCAGAAAAGTGACTGCCTCCCTTTCCAAACGTAATCACATCCTGAGCCAGACGTTGACGCTCATTTAACAACCAACAGTTTTAAGGAGCGGTTTAATAACTTTAAAACTGAGACCAAAAAAAAAGAAAGCAGAGAAACAAACAAAACATAAACACGACTCAAATTAAAGCCTTGAACATGAAGCGTAAATAAATCCTTTATAAGAGAAATCTGTTTGTAAACGGATGTTATGGTTTTATTAAAAACATCATACCTTTAGCTACAGGAGAAAATAGATTTATAACATATAAACACTGAGCTGTATCTCCATAACTAACTTTTTGTGTCAGCTGAAGAAACTCAGAGTGTCCCTCTCGCTGATTCGTTTTGCGTCTGTTTGTCCCGGTCGGTTTTGTTTTCCTCGCTCTGATTTAACGGCCCCGGGGTTTCTGGCCTCGCCGAGCGCAGAGGAGGGTCGAAGCCAAGTCCTAAAAACTAAACACTTCCTGAAAACCCCTCCGTCACCGTCCTCATCTGCTCTGTTTATTGTGTCGGAGCTTTTATCATTGTTATTATTATTATTTTTATTCCCAGGACTTAGAAGTTGATCCATCACAAACAAACAGCTCTGATAGCTTCATGTCTAATATGTTCRTGTTTTATTTCTTTAATAAATGATGATTGGTCGGTAAAGTTTTTTCTGTTTTAAGCTAAAGCACAGACAGAGTGGGGAAAACATAAACAAAACAACAGCACCACACGCTCCCACACCTGCTGTACGATCTGGGCAGTGAACGTGTGAAAACCCCCCCACACACACACTCTTCGCTCCCCCCCCATTCATCCCTCGCCTTGGTTAACCCCTCGAGGGAACGCCGCCGTGAAGCATTCCTCAGGGAAAGCTCCGTGATCAGATGTCATTTGGTATTATCTAAGGAAGGATCCTAATCCACAATCTGCCCGCATCTGTTTGCTAACGTTTCCCAAGCTCTATTCCCAAGCTTTATTTTAGTTTTTCTTTTTTCTTTTTTTTTCTTTTTTTCCTTTTTTTGTCTTCCCCGCTGCTGCTGCTGCCCCCCAGCGCCACTCTGATGTGTCGGTGCCAGCTGGACAGATGGCGAGCCCCTCGAGGAGCCGTGCCACCGAGCGTCTGGCTCGGCCCGCACATTTCTCTCCGAGCTTTTTACTTATTTATTTATTTATTTTTTGGTAAAAGTGCGGGAACGGCCTCGACGGCGGCGGAGTTTTACGCTCCCAGGCTTCCATGAACACACCCGAAACACAACAAATTATTTCCTAATTCAGCTTTACTCAACATCAGCTGCTGAATTTTATCCGCTAGCTGCTCGAAACAACCTTCCTGAATTTAAGTACAGCTTAAGCAAGAAAACCCCGCCGACTCCCTCCAGGTGCTCGGATAAAAAAGAAAAAAGAAATTAAACGCATTTCTTGACCGCTGCAAAATGGCTTTGAATATTCAGCGTATATCTGATTAAATCTCTCTTAAGAGCCTCTGCAGGAACGCCGGCCATCGCCGCCGCCTCTCGCAGAGTGCCTACGCTGCAGTTTTTTTTTTTCCTTCCCCCACAGATGCATTACTAAATGAATGCGTTGACCACGGGGCAAGGTTACGTTGGTATTGGCAGGGATAGCTTTCAGCTGGATTGCCGACACGTGCGCTCGCATAATGCATGCAAAGGAGACACGTCGTCTTGTGTCTGTGTGTGTGTGTTGTTGTTGCAGTAATTTGTTATCTGTATGTGTGTTTTGAAATGCAGGAAGAAGGGGGTTAGTGTGAGTGTCTCTGTGTGTGCGTGTGTGTGTGTGTGTGCGTGAGTGCTTTAACTTCATTGTACTGTGACCCCAGATCGATAAAACACAGTTAGCTAATGAAAAAATAAAGTCTGCATGCTGGAGGGCATGCGCACTCCTGTCCCTGAATCTGAGAGTGAAGCGGTGCTGCTGCTGCATGGCTTCACTCGCAGGTGACAGTGTAACACACACACCCTCCCCCCTCCATCCCACTCACACCTTGTAACCAACTAACTGCATTAATTTGTTTGTRTTTTTGTTTAACTTCCAGGTTAGCTGCTACCATTAACTTTGCACCTGCATGTTTTTTGTTTTATTTATTTTTTGTCATTTTCTAATGAGCTTCCCAAAATTTCAGGCTCATTTTTGGAGTTTCTTTTTGATTTCTTTCTGCTGCTTTTTTGACTCATCTGCATGCATGTGTGTTATACAGTGTTGAGTTGTAGTGTAATCTGAAGTGGAAGTTGTCTTGGCCCAGTGATCTGACTGCTAGGTTTCAATTGACAGCTGAGGAAGTGTGACTGGAGCGTGACTCAAAACGGCAGGCATTATGGCCCCAGTGCCACTGACGACACTTTGGGGATTACTTGGCAAAGGTAACCTTTTCGTTCTTTCATGCCGTCTTTATATCTCTCTCACATATGTGCACACTTCTACCCTTCACATTCATGACATTGCATTATGTGTGATTTGTTTGTGTTATTTTGTTATATTTTGACTTCAAAATGTGATATTTTGACCCAGAGTTGTGGCTCCTTTTTTATGATTTTTCTCTTTTGTCATATTTATGACTGGTTTTTTTTTTCTTTCTTTCTTTTTCCCCCTTAAAATGAAATGGTTGAAGGTGGAATTAGAAAATCTACGCATTTTTTGAAAATTTTATGATAAATGTTAAATAAAAAAAATCACTTGGTTTCTTAAAACTATAGTTTATACTCCTTGAAGTGAATTTCTGTAATATATCAATTGTAAATAACTTTTTAAGGAACCTCAGCTTGTAGAAACAGTTCGTCTTTGATGAAACCGATAAACAAACGGACAAAACAAACTTAAACATTTAACTGGGGTTCACGTCAGCTACGTTTTACTACTCCTCTTTCTACTACTTAATGTATAAAGCACTTTACATCAACCACAGCTGCAACAAAGTGCTGTGCATGGAAAATCAAAGAACAATTAAAGATTTAAAACAAAGATAAAAACAGTTAAAACACTAAAATGTAAACTATATTATATTTTATATACTGTATATATAAACTATATTACTATAAACCTGCTGCCAGTTTCACATTGCCTTGTTATTCCGTCAGATACTCTTATTAATTCATAATAATTATCAGTATTGTAGCAGAAAAACACGGTGGTAGAGGAATGATGGATTGGGCCACTCGAACTGAGCACTTTGCCCACATTAAGTCAATATGTTTACTTGAATTTCTGTTTATTTGGAGCGCAAATAGAAACATTTGAATGCTCAAAATAAACATTCTGTTTTTAGCAGATTATCCTCTTTTAACAATTCAATTCAGTTTATTTATATAGCACCAAGTCACAACATATGTTGTCTCAGGGCACTGTACATGAAAAAAGAACAATTTAAAGAAGAAACCAGCAGATTGTGTTGAATCACTTCATCACAGTCTCCCATCCTGAGCAAACGGTGGAGAGGATAAACTCCCTGCTAATCAGGAAGAAACCTCCAGCAGAACCAGGCTCGGGACAGGCGGCCATCTGCCTCGACCGGCTGGGTTGGGGGACAGGAACGAGACACAGTACAATAACTGTCAATATTATAACTGTCAAGCACGGGGGTGGAGGGGTGGTGATTTGAGCTTACTTTGCAGCCATGGGAGCTGGATGGTCATTGAGTCGATCATGAACTTTTAGAACATATAAATATGGTCAAATAAAACTTATAACAATGGTAAAAGTAAAACGTGTAAAGATGGTCAAGTAAAACTTGTAACGATAGTCAAATAAAATGTATAGTAAATAAAACTTGTAAAGATGGTCAAATAAAATGTATAGTAAATAAAACTTGTAAAGATGGTCAAATAAAACTTATAGTCAAATAAACTTGTAAAGATAGTCCAATAAAACTCATAACAATGGTCAAATAAAACTTATACTGTCAAATATAACTTGTGAAGATGGTCAAATAAAAACTGTAAAGACGGTCAAAGAAAACATAAAGATTGTTAAATAAAACTTATAAAGATGGTCAAAAAACTCAGAGAAGGAGATTGGATAACTATTGTGCATGGAGGAGATAGCGAGGAGACACAGGCGGCTCTCYGGAAGCCCACAAAAAWGACCGTCCCTCAATCCCGTCAGTGAGATCTGATGTCTTTAGAGAGCTTTAGTGAGCTGTGCACAAACATCTAAAAACCTTGATATGATGAAGTAATGTTGTAATCGAAGTGTTGGTCAAATTCCTCCACAACCACCTGAGAGTCAGATAAAGTCAGACAGAAGGGGTTATCTCTGCCATCAGAGCTGCTATTTTAGTCACTTGAGGTTAAACCAGATTATTCCTACTGTGTCCCGATACTTAAAATCCACAACAAATGAGAAACTATTTGTTCAGACCCTTTCCCCAGAACCTCTTTTTAAAACAACCTGGCTTTCCTCTTGGACTCRGAACTAAAATGTTTCCGAACATAAAAACAAATCCTGGGATCAGAAAATTCATTTAAGGTCTTATTTGTAGCCACGGGAGGATCATTTACTCTTGGTGTTTAAACAAGCTTAGTTTTTGTTTGACTTTATGCTTCGCWCTAATAAGTTAAAGGTACAGATCAGCCCCCGTCCCTGCGCTCAAACCCACCACCCTGATTCTGTATGGTCCTGTACTGTAGTTCTGTCCCTCTCTTTGGGGTAGGGGAAAAAAAACTGAACTGTTTTAGCACGGCAGAGCGAGCAAGCTGAGCTAAGCCTTTTCCTGTTTGCCTTCTTTTCCCTGGATATGTAGAGTATCCGTGTGTGTGTTGGTGTGAGTGTGCGAGAGTGGGAATGTGTGTACAGGTCGTTCTGCACTCGCTAAAGTTATAAACACGAATGCACACAGCAGAAACCCCCTTCAACAGGCCTCCTAATAGGTGGGCAGAGGTAGCAGAGAGAAGTGCCTCCTGCAGCAGTTTCAGGTCTTTTTCCACCTCTTGTAGCCGAACAGTAAAGAGGACAAATAAAGCAGCTAAATGTTTATTTTATTACGAGGACAGGATGGTAATTCTGTTATGGTTCTTTCTTTTCGATGGATTATTTCAAGTAGAGATGGAATCCGGTGGATTTCTTCTTTCATCCTCCCCGCCCTTTAGACGGAGCGCTCCGTCGTGCCTCTCCGTTGCCAGCCTCCAAATTAAAAAAGCTGCTGGACTCGCATGTCGCCATTGTGCAGGAAATGGATCAGCAATCCATTAAGATGCCATTAGATAATCTAATTTAGCCAGCTAATCCTTAAACGAAGCACACTGTTTGACCGGGCGGCGCTGCGCAAGGAGCCGGACCGGGCCGAAGGAGGCCGGCAGCGTTGAGGGGAACAGTGGGGGGCCGAGGTTCGGTTTGTTTTGCCTTGTTTGGAGCTAAAACAAGGCAGGTACAGTTTCTTTGTTGCTTCCGTGGAGCCAGATTTACTCCTAAAAATAAATATTACGTTAGACTTTCAGAGGTTTTTTTTTTGGCTCTTTTTCATTTATTTTCTGTACATTTCCATTTTTAGAAGTATTTGTGAGCCACGTTGGCAAACCGAGTCACATTTTTTAACATTGAGTTATTTTGAAGTTCAAAAGCTTCAAAATGATAGATAAATTGTGGAAATTTGGTGATTTAGCTCAATTTTTATTGTTCTGGAGTAGAACTGCCACAAACGATTATTTTTATAGTCGATTAATCACCGATTATTTTTTTCGATTATTAGACTAATCTGATCATATGTTAATTAAATATAAAACATAGAGCTTATCGTGCCAGATTGCAGCTGCTATTATACAGCGGGTAAAATAAGTATCGAACACGTCACCATTTTTCTCAGTAAATATATTACTAGAGG